ATATTGAATGAAAAACCTTAATAAATTTAGATTTGACAAAAAAATAAATAAAATAAAACCCTCAAGCCTGTAACGATTGTAAAAATGCCCGTACAAAACTAAAAAAAAAAAGCCTGGAAAAACACCCAAAGATGCACAGCTCAATTGTGAATGTTTCCAGTACACAAAATGAATTTAAAAAGTACAAATACATTAACATGATCCAACCTCACGGTCCACATAATTGTAACCGATTTAGATAACTATGTCAAAGCAGATTTTCAAAACTTCATTCTACTAGTAATGTGTTTACAGTACTTGTTTGCTAGACCTGCTATGCAGTTACATTTGATGTTCTATCTAGAAGGGTTAATTTACTTCCGCCGAATAAAATCAATAATTAGCTGATATTTCAAAACTGTTCCAACTGTTCCAATCTTCTACTCTTCAGACACCGCAAAATACCATCAAAAGGAATGGATTCAAAGTTCAGTGAAGCTATGAGTGTGTCTCAGCATATTTTCATCCTGTGAACAGTTAATAAACAATCTCATATCGTATATAAGCAAAACCGGCTTGCCATCGTACATTCTTTTGCACTTCTGCTTCAGTACTTCAGTAAATCAGCTTATGTACTTTGAACTTCGCTCATATGGGACACAAAGTTTGTAAGTGTGTCTTACAGAAGTGGCAGACGGCTTTAAAACAGGAAAATTAGGAGCGATGCCTTTTTTTTTAATGAAATACATATTTCTGTATACATTTTTTGACAAAGAACATAATAAATAAGGTAAGTTACTTCCTCCAAATTAGCTATACCAAAGGATAAACATAGTGTGAAGAGCAGATACTGAAGCTCATGTTTTTAGTTTGCATAATAAAGAGTTATCTACGCTTAAAAAATATTGTAAGGGTTAAAAACTGCTAAATAGTTGGCTGATATATTGTCTTGTAAAAGCAGAAGTAATAATCATAAATAATTATTTGTTTAAAGTTTAAAAAAGAAACTAGACATGATCAGGGTTATTCACAAAAGGGTGCAGAGTTTGGAGAAGGCAGGAGAAGTGAACCATCTAGGACAACATAGCTGAACTGGAAAGTGAGCTGAATTGGAGAAGTCTTCCAAATCAGCTATGTTGTCCTAGATTGTTCACCTCTCCTGCCTTCTCCAAACTCTTCACCCTTTTGTGAATAACCCTGGATATGTCAAAGGGCAAATCAGAAGCAAAATAAATGCATGTTACGGGTTATTTTTAATACATATAATTCAAAACAAATATTTTGTTTGTGGTCAGCTTAAAGTGACATTAAACCCTCAGATTTTTTTAACATAAACCAATACTGTAATGTGTGCCTTACTGTAATCCATGGTAGTTTACCTTCTCTTTGCTGCTCTTCCTTTTAAATCCTCATGTCTTCTCATGCTGGGGGAGAACTTCCCCTTGCAGCTGAGTGCCTCTTCCTGTAGTGCTGGCTCAGGTTGCAACGTATACATAGACACCATGTATCCATTTCAGAGACAAGGCAGTCTGCTGCAAAACAGAAGTTCTGCCCAGCATGAGAACAGATACAGATTTAAAAGGAAGAGCAGCAAAGAGAAGGGAAACAACTATGGATTACAGTAAGGTGCACATTACAGTATTGTTTTATGTTAAAAAATCTGAGGGTTTAATGTCACTTTAATGTACAATTCATAATAAGTGATGACATTTCAAAAATCTATTTTCGGTCTGATGTTTTGTTAATATGCGCCAAATTTGCTTACAATACATACAGCTTCTGTAACTGTGTTTCACTGTTCATCTCCCTGAGTGCAAGTCTATTGACCATGGCTGCAAGGAGTATTTACAAATGTATATGTCAAAAATAATAAATCAAGATATGGAAGCACAAGCATGTAAAAAATATGTAATGTTTAATGTTTAAAATATATAATTAATGCCTTAATCAATTACAATATATCAATTACAAATGTAGATTTCATGAAAAAAAACTATAGTTTATCTGTAGTAAATCATTTGCTACCATTTTTAAAATGCAGATTAAGGATACAGTAAAGTATACCAGTATATAGTTTTTAATAGCAGCGTTGGTTGTACTGTATCATTAAATATAACCAATTAACCATTTTAAAGCTTGAAGCTGGGAGGGCTATCAAATATGTAAATGCTGAGCTAAACCAAATAACGTGAATCATTTGTTGTCTGGACCTAACTGTGTAACCTGACCATTTTCAGTTATGGCAAGTGGAGTACAAGGTGCAGCCACAAAGACCACCAATTATTATTTTTTTATTTTACCACATGAGAATGATTGTCACAACCCTGGTTTTCTAAATACCAATATAGTAAAGTTCTTCTTACTGACTTATAATATGAATATAGTGCTGCAAACTGAATCCAGCAGTCGAGAGTATATATAATTCTAACAGAACAGATCAAGCTCCAAAGAAGAGGTTTCGTGCTATGAGCCAAATTATTTTTAATGTTCTTTGTTATTCCTCTTGATCTAGGGTGATTGCAACACTGAGATATCCAAGGGATATTCATGCAATAATTTGATGATTATGGTTCACGTGTTGAAATTACTCGCTGAATTCTCATTAGTTATTTATCAGCATACCATATCATCCATTACACAGCAGCAGCCAAAGACTTGCTTATAAGCTATAGTAAGTGCATGAACTTTCAGTTATTCACACAGTGCCAACACCCTGAATGACTAGTGTAGTATTTCAGTCAGAACTAGAAACATATTTATTTACTGAAATATATGACATTTATTTTTTTTAAGTACCTTACCTATCATAATATGTAACCCCTTTCAATTACATTTAAATGAACCACTACAAAAGAGTTGTAACTTTAACTTTAAGCAATCTAGCAGTGGGGCTGCCTGCACCTAATGGCACAAATTTTCATCTGCAGTGATTATGTGTTGACATAATAGCAACCAAAGTGGTCAACAAATGGAAAACCTTTATACAAACCATATGAAGGAGCATTAACGTATGTTAATAGCTGCTATTTATAAGAATGCAGGATCTCTAAATCTTTTTGATACTAGCCATTTCAGCATCTGTTCAAAAAGCATGGAGATAACCACGCTAGGCTGTCCATAGTGCATTTGGCTGTACAATAGTTTTCAGTCAGTGCTTCCCTGCCGATCCTTTCTCCGTCACAGCAGGCACTAAAGCCCTCAGTGTCAGCCAGTGTCCAATGCTAGGGGAACAGAGAATTCACCATCTCTGCCATGAAAGGTGAATTAGCCTAACAATTGGCTGTCATCTGGTTGGAGGTTACATGCTCCCCCATAACTGGAAGCACTGGATATTGCTTGCTTCAACAGAGGAAGGACTAGAAAGGTGAATAGTGGTGGGTTGGGGGTGGGAGAGTTAATTTTTGCAAAGACAATCTGCCAGTTGTACAGTAATTGCTATTGTGCACTTCCTATCAACTGGCAGATTTCCGGACGAAAACATGATTGTGTCCGAAAATCAGCAGATAATTCTAAGGTGTTTGGGCACCTTAAGACTACTAAAAATAGAGCAACTTTAAGAAGAGGTGAACTACCACTAAAATGTAATCTTGGATACCAATAATCTAGAAAGTCTAGTTTCTCACTCCTGGAGGAAGGAAAGGAAACATGTATTGAAGAAATACAGAAGCTGTAATTGCTGATCTCCCCTTTTAAAATTACTAGTTTCCTGGTTGTCATGCCGACCTTTTCTTCTGAAAATGCTGCTTGGCTGTTATTCTGACCCTTTGGCTTCCATACGTTCTGGGTAACTGAAACATTTTATGCAAATAAGGTCCTTCTCTCTTTCTCTGACTTCCCTGATTTGCACACTTGTTCCTAGTCACTGAGTCAGAAAGTACAGGAGCCATAGGGTCAGAATAACAGGTAGGCAAAAGGCATCCTCAGAAGTGGAGGTCAGCAGTGGAAACCCCCATATTTCCCCCAAGACAGGTTTACTTCAAAGACAGCTGAAAGATTTTTAATTTTTTTTAAACAATTGTGTAGGTATTTACGGCAGTGTCAAGAGTAAAAAGGGCTCTAACCAATAGCAATTGCTTTGTTTTTACCTTATTGGAAATTAATCACTGAAACAATCTACCTTAAAGTAGTATTAAACTTTTTTTCGAAAATGACTCCAGAAGAAACAAATCTACATTGCCCAGCAAAGAATTGTTTACATTTTTGCCCCAACACTTACAATCATCATGTTTCTAAACAGCTGCTTCCAAGTCTCTGAGCTCAGCTTCCCTGAACTTCCTGTACGGTACATGATCACAAGGGACAGAGGAGACTCCAGCAACTGTTCATCTGCTAGCTTGGAGAATGATGGAGGGGGAAG